GCTCCCTACAACATCAGATCAGCTCCCTACATCATCAGACAGACCAGCTCCCTACATCATTGGACCAGCCCCCTACATCATCAGGCCAGCTCCCTACATCATCAAACCAGCTCCCTACAAAATCATTCCAGCTCCCTACATCATCAGAGCACCTCCCTACATCATCAGATAAGCTTTCTAAATCAGCAGACCTGCTCCCTACATCATCAGACCAGATCCCTAAATAATAAAGTGCCATAAAATCGATCAAGAATATGCAGCCTCACTTATCTGCAATTTTAATGAAGGGTATTTTAGTCAACCACAATCCAAAACTATCAAAGGAAAAGTTCTAGAAATTAAATTGCAATGTTAAAATTGCATGCCACTTAGGGTTCAGTGATAAAAATCTTGTCTCACCAAGCTCCCTCCAGCTGGAGCTGTGTATTACTGATCATATCCACACTATATACACTGGCTTACCAATTGTAGCTCATTGCCTTTCTTGTGGTTCACAGTGGCTTTATAGGTACGGGCAGTACCAAATAGAATTTCAGAGTATATTGCCTTCAGATGGGTTCCATGTAAAGTCGAAATTCAGTCATCTTCTCCTTTTGCATTTTTGAGTAATTATTTATTGCTTTTTATACTTCATAAGAATATGGATTGGGATTTCTTGTGTGTGTGTGTGTGTGTGTGAGTGTGTGTGTGTGTGTGTCCATTCACGTAAAGGCAAGATTGCTTTAATCAGGCCTAGACATGCCTTGAGAACCCTGCTCCACGTGGTGCCTTCCAGGCAATCACGTAGATGCATATTCCTCTTCAGGTTTTTTCTTCTGCTGAGGACAGCTGAGCACTGGCAGCTAGCAGCTTGGATAGCTGAGTGCCTGGCTCTAGGAGCCTGTAAGGACAGGACCATCAGCCTGACTGCCTTCAGGCCAAGAAGGTCTCCTTCCCATGCCACTTAAGCACAGACAACAGCCCCTGGACACCCATCTGCTTTCTGACATAGCTCTGTTTGGCGTTGAATGCTCTTCTTACTGTAATCCTTTTTGTCAGTTTTGTACACGTGTGCTTTGACCTCCATTGGCAACATTCCTGGAAATGGTGTTATCAGAGCTAACCCTTTACATTATGTGAAAATCCATGATCCATAATGACAGCATCCTCAAAATGTTTCTGGTGAAATCTTTTGTAGTCACTGGTTTATTCTGCTTTCTCAGTGGTTGGTGGTATCCCCAGGCTTTCTCTGTGGTCTTAAACCCATCTCTTGTGGTTCTGCTGCCGTCCTGGTCAGTTCTTCTCTAGCTCTAGCTCTTCAGATTCCCTGCTGTGGGCCAGCACCATGCTCAGCTCTGGGACACAGAGACCCTTGGAGGCCTTGGAAAGTATACATCCCAATGGAGATGGACTGAGTCCCAGCAGCACAGATTCAGCAGCTGCTGACATCTTATGCTCTTCTGGTACCTTGAGGAGGATGCTGTTCTCAGATGTAGGGGAGGGGCAAGGGCAGATCCCAGAGGAATTTTATCCAATGAGGGGCATGTGAGCTGTGGTTTAGTTTGACAAGGGCCTGACAGGGAAACAGGTGTGAAGTAAAAGCATTTCTCAGATGGGAATATGGAGCTAGAGTCTGGAGTGCTGCAAATGACCCATCGATAGTGAAGCTGTTTCCGCAGAGAAACAGTCCAGCTGCTGAGACCTCCTTTAACTGCCTACCTCGTAAAGCCTTACCCTGGTAACCATGGTGACTTACCCAAGGTGTTCATGGTGGTGTTAATAGTGTTAATCAGGGTGTGGTGGCATAGGCCTTGCACCCCAGCCTTCAGGAAGCAGAGGCAGCCTTATCTCTATTGAGCTTGAAACCATGCTGATGTATATAGAGTTCCAGGCTAGCCAGCACTACACATGGAGACCCTGTCTCCATATATATTATTAAATAGTAACTAATTTGTGTGTTGTGATAAGCTGTACAAGGTTTTCTGTGTATATTATTTTGTTTTCACGACAACCTAATAGATGAGGCAGATATGTTGCAGGATGGCGTTTTTATACACTGTGAAGATGTGTCTCTGCCAAGGCACCTTCTGATTGGTTTAATAAAGAGCTGAATAGCCAACAGCTAGGCAGGAGAGGATAGGCGGGACTTCCAGGCAGAGATAGGAACTCTGGGAAGAATCTAAGGCACTCATGATTTACCAGCAAGAGGCAGAGCATGTGGGACATAAAGTATGGAGGAGTGGAAACAAGCCATGTGACAGGACATAAATTAATATAAATGGGTTAATTTAAGTTTTAAGAGCTAATTGGGAAGAAGTCTAAGCCAAGGCTGAGCTTTCATAATTAATAAGAAGTCTCTGTGTCATTATTTGGGAGCTGTCAGTCTGAAGTTTGACTAACAGGTACTAACAACATCTAATAATTATTTGTAGCAGTTGATTATTTTATTATTTTTGTGTGTATGTTTGTGCCTGAATGAGTTTGTGTACACCAGGTGCCTGCAGAAGCCCAAGGAGGCCAGAAGAGGCTGTTGAATCCCCTGGAACTAGAGCTGTAGATAGTTGTGAGCCATCACGTGGGTGCTGAGAACCCAACCCAGGTCCTCTTCGAGAGCATCCAGTGCTCTTAACTGCTGAGCCATTTCTCCAGCCCTGCATCTGACAGTTCTCATTCCACTGTTTTGATGACCAAATGCACTGATTAATAAGTACTTATCAGCTGGAGAGAAGGCTCAGTAGTTAAGAGCACTGGCTGCTCTTTCAGAGGTCCTGAGTTTAATTCTCTGCAACCACATGGTGGCGCACAACCATCTATAATGAGATCTGGTGCCTTCTGGCCTACAGGTATACATGCAGGCAGAACACTGTATACATAATAAATAAATAAAGTGGAATTTTAAAAAATATTTATGTGTTGGATGAGGCCCCAAAAGGTGTATGTCCATGTCTGAAATCCTGGAACTTAGAAATTGAATGCAATCAGACAAGGAGACTCTTGAGCATGCAATCTCAGATCTGTAAATGGGGAAGTTGTCCTGATTGTCCCCAGGAACCTCAAACACCATGTAGCCCTGTGACATACAGTGAGATCTCATAAGCAGAGACTGAATGACATGTCCATGGTTACGGATGCTCACAGAAACATAGGCGGTGCCAGTATTCCTAGCACTTCCGAGGCAGGTGAGGGAGGGTCATGAGTTCAAGGTCAGGCTGGACTAACTAGTTGTGAGACTCTTCTCAAAAATAAGAACAAAAGAGCTACTAACAGCCAGGAGGAACTGAAGGCGAAGGTTAGCTCCTGGCCTGGAAATTCCAGAGGCACAATGCCTCTAGATCTAGCCTAGATCTACATCTGGTCAATGGGCTTATACATTGATGACATTTTAAGTTCCCACTCTGTGGTTTTTCATAACAACCATGAGCAAAAGAGTACAGTATCCCAGAATTGCTCACTCAGTCACAGGAGTGACACAACAACAGACATCAACTGTCTCCTATTTGGGGACCAAAGATTAAATAACGAGACATCAGTCCTTGAGGAAGATGACTTTATTAGTAATGGAAGATGGGGCTGGTGAGTTGCTGTGACAGGCTAAAGGAGCAGAGTCAAACTGACACAGGAGAAGAAAGTGGGAGCTGATCCAAGCTCTGTAGTCAAATTAAGGTATCAAAGAGGCTAGCTGCCTTCTCTAACAGCCTGGGCCCTTGCCATTACACTCTCAGTGTCTGGAAGATTCCAAGGAGAACAGGAAACTGATTTTGCCCATGCTGAGGTAGAGGTCCTTCTGGGACACCCATGAAACCGCCTCGTCACCAGCTGGGTAGTTCGGTCTGAACATTTAGAGCTGGGGACAAAACGTGTAGTCCCCGGCAGTTCGTGCAGCACCGGAAGTCCTGTGGAGGCACCGGAAGTCCTGTAGAGTATGATCACCCAGGTAGGAGGGGGCATCCTAAGCAAGGGGGAATTCCAGGCAAGGAGAGTGATTTCTGGCAGCAGAGGAACCCTAATAGAGGGTTTAGAAAGGGAAATTAAGGAGTCCCCTTGGGAATCCTGGGAGCTTTTCCCTCCTCCATCTCTGGACCTTGCTATCCCATAGAAACTGAGAACATTTAAGGTTTTTGAACTGTTTTTGTTTTTTGGTTTTACTTTCCATTCTTAGTTTATAGAGAATTCGATTGGAATGTAAACACACTCTTCATTGTTCTCTTAGAAGCACAATTCTAAAGAATCTGCACAGCCCTGTACCCAGCGAGGCTAGATGACTGCAGCCTGCTAGTATTGCTCCGAAGGGACACAGCAGCAGAAGGGACACAGGAGCTGACGGTGCAGTCAGTAATCATGCTACTAGTGTCACAGCTAACAGCCAGGGAGGTTGTCTTTCTGCAAACGCAAAACGCTGAGCTGGTAAACCCCCGCTGTCTCTGCAAGCAAGAACCACAGAGCAAAGCTCCCCATCTGTCACCTGGCAGAGCGCCTTTGAAACAGGCCCAGCTAGCTCGTAGCCTAGCAGCTTCATCTGCAGGGGAGCAGCTCCTGCCCGCTGAACCCCCTGCTTCCTCCCATCCCTCCTCCCATCCTTCTTCCCGTCCCTCCCTCATCCCCACCCCAGCCCTCTGGACACCCCCCGCCCCGGGCCCCACTGTATTTGCTGTTTGCCAGCTGGGTTCCTTCCCTCCCTCCTAACCTTCCTCTATTCTGCTCACTTGTCTCCCATCCTGTTTTCCCTGGAAAGACACTAGCTGTTACTTTATCCTGTCCCCTCAAGGTTATACCTGAAGTGTTTAAAGGACACCCCAGAGTTTTGGGCATGGCAGGGAGTATGAATGGCCGGACAGGAGAGAGGTCATGGGCTCCCGGTCATTCTGACTCACTTGTGCCTCCCTGGGTTAGAGCCTCATCTAAGATCAAGGCAACACACCTAGAGATGGGTGCCCTTGAGCAGAAAGTACCCTACTTCAGACACCCCCCACCGCATGCACGGCACGCCCCGCCCCGCAGACCCGCAGAGTAGGCAGTCTTACTTGACTGGAGCTTGGGGTCACATTGAGTGGGGCACGGAGCCTTGTCCTTACACTGGGCCAACTTGTCCCAAAAGGCCATCTCCTGCCCTGACAAGGCAGACATACTCCACTCTGCACCTTCTTAGCTGTGCCTTTGTGATGCGTCGCTATGGAGACAACCGTAAACCTTCTCTTCAGTTGAGTCTCCGCCCCTAGAGCCCATGGGTTGGGTGCTTCCCTCAGGTTCCTGGCTTTCTGGAGCTTCTCCTCCTAGCAATACTTTCCAAACCATTGTTTTGTGTATTGGCCTGGTGTACTGGCCTGTGTGATCTGAGAACTCAGGAGGCTAAGGCAGGAAGGAGGCCAGACCCAAAAGGAGATGCCTTATCTCAAAATATTAAATATCCCACGTGTTAAAATCTCCAGGGCAGATCATCAGAGTCCCAACCACACATTTGTGTCCATTCCTAATCTTCAGATTAAGCAAATAAAACATAGGCAAGGTGGGCATAGAAATTTGTGGGACACAGAGAATGATGCTCAGAGGTTCTCTAACAGGTCCGTGCTAGATCAACCTAGATCAGCCTAGGCCAGGAAACACTGAACACCAGCTAATAATGAAGAAAAGCTTATTTACCTCGTGGTTTTTTTTTGGGGGGGGGGATCCAAATCCAAAGGTGCGTCCAAGCATGGTGGCACAATCCTGCAATCCTAGTATTTGGGAGATAGAGGCAGCAGGACTAAGAGTTCTAAATCATTCTCTACAACATAGTGTGCCCAACAGCACCCTGGGTTACAGGAGACCCCCCCACTCCCATCACACAGCACACATACACACACACCATGTATGTATGCTAGAGTCTGGCCTTTTCATTTTTTTCCATTTGTGACCAATTTGTGTCTGAGAAATTTGTATGCAAGTAAAGTATATAAAACAGATATACAGATCAAATGTTTCTTGATAACCACAAGGAACTTTATATAAAACAATTCATTTCTGTGCATACAATTTCACCCTCTATGAAAGATAAAAGCAAATTTTCATACTAATGAGATAGGTATGCTTGTTTGTTTTATATAAAGAATTAAATCCTAGCTGAATATTAGATGTCATGGGATCATCTTCAGTACTTTGGTTTTTATAATCACTAATACTGGGAGACCATTTTGCATAAACACTTAGTATAGTGGCAGAAGTGTCCATTTCAAAAACAAAAGTTCTGCCCCAACTCCAACCGAAAACTCAACAAATGTGTATGAAACTCAAGGCAGCAAATCACGTAACACTTTTTAAAAATAGAGCATTCCTGATTGAGGCTTAGAAGGGAATAGCAAAGCTTTCCTCAGTGATCTGAATGGGGACGTGGACAGTACATGCAGAAAATATCCATCATAGTGTTCTTCCCAAATATGACTATCTATACTTATCTTCGTCATCTAGCTGGATCCCATAAACCCTGACTCCCTGTTTATCTCCATGGAATAACCTAGTTTCCTTCTTCAGCTATATGCAGTGACCGTACTTCTCTTCAATAAACACACCTTGATCCTCCAGGCTGCTGAGGTTACATGGTTGATTTTGAGTTAACATTTAGCATTGCACACCAGAAACTTTACTGTGGTCAGATTTTTTTTTTTTTGCTTGTTTGTTTTCAGCTCCCTCATTCACTCGTGGGACCCCCCACAACACAGGAAACTGTGGGCTAGTCATGGGTGAAGAAGGTATGTTGTATTCATATTCTTGGTGACTACCTGGTTATTGAGCCACATAGGAGGTGCTTAGTAGCTACTGAATGGCTCCAGAAAGAAGACTCTTGGGAAGAGAGCACAGGAAATACAGTGGAGATTTCTGGAAGCTTGGTAAGAAGGTGACTGGGAGTCTGGCCTTCCACCCCAGCACTCAGGAAGCAGAAGCAGGTGGAACTCTGAGAAGCTGAGACAAACCTAGTGTACATGAGTTCAAGCCCAGCCAGGGCTGGATATTGAGATCCTGTGTTTTACAAAGGAAATAAAAATAATAATTTACAACTCTTATTCACCCTAAAAAGAACTCTTCTAACATTAGATCTTAGAGGAAACTGAGGCCTCACAAAAAGGACTTTATAAATGGACATTTATTAGGCATCAAAGATCACAAATGTATCTACAAGCAACATTTTAATGATTTATTTTTATCCTTTTAAGTGTGTGTGTGTGTGTGTGTGTGTGTGTGTGTGTGTGTGTGTGTGTGTTTGACATATGGGCAGGTACCCCAAGGAGGTCAGAAGGGGGCATTACATCCCTTGGAGCTAGAGATATAGACAACTAATGAACCCACTGGATGTAGGTTCAGGGTGTCTGGATGTGGGTGCTGGGAACTGGACTCTGGTCCTCTGCAAGAGCCACAAGGTATCATCTTTAAAATAAAGAGCTAATCCAGAATTAGCTGTCAGTGAAACCTCATGCACACAGTGTAGGGAATACACCACATTCTCATGCAATGAACAGTAGAAGACGTTAGGAGGCACAGACTTCTGTCAATGTTATTTAAAAAGGAATGAGTCTAAATTAGGGTTTAGTAGTGGCATCTAAATTAAGAAAGTGACACCCAATAACAGATTAGCTGTCTGGAAATGGTAGGGCTAATTAGCATGGCATAATTTAAGATAAATATATTTTTAAAGCAGAGCAATGAGCATATAGAATTTTTAAAGTGAGCTCTTATTAATATCTTAGATTTGTCTCCTCTCAGGCAAGCTAGAATGGGGGGGGGTATTCACTTAATGCAAATCCAGAAGACATCTTTGCCACTTTCCCTTTGGGGGCCCTCGGGGTAAACCAGAAGCCTCTGTGAGCTCCAGTTGCCTTGTCTGTAAACATTGGGCTTACAAAGATGATAACCCTGGCAACAGTTTATCAGTGGTAACCCACACAAGCGAAGGTATTTCTCTCTTTCCTCACTCCTACTTTATGTCTCCATTCTTATTGTAGTTTCTCCTCAACATATATATGTTTTTGTCTGGGTCTATGTTACTGTGAGTGGCATGGCCGTGTTCCTGACTTTGAATTTTGTTTGCCCAAGGCAAGCCTATGAATGATTAACCCAAGGTCTGTTTGGTTTCTTTTGTTGCATGTTTTCCATTCTTCTTTCTCCTCTCAGCGAATACTGCTTGTGTATTGAATATAAGCTGTGTAACGACATTGAAAACGGCATCCTAGATATGACAGGATGATCAAAGAGAAGATACCCACATCTCAAAGGTGCATGGAGCCAGCCAGGTAAAAGGGCAGGACAATGCCTGGGGGGGAAATGGAGTTCAGAGATGCTGAAGAATTTCTTGGTGCTATGCTGTGGAGAGCAAAGGGGGAAAGTGTGGGCACAGAGCTGAAGCAGCAAGGCTAAGGGGTGGCCCTGCAAGCCCAGCAGGGGACTAACAGTTACCTAGTGTGGCAGGGGCTCACCAAATAGCTTGTACAGCGTAGTGAAGGCACCAAGCCAGAATTTTGAACCCCAACCTTTTTTTTTTTCAGAAGAACTCAGAACTGTCATGCAAGAAGCAAAACATCTGGGTCACTAATATGCCTAGATAGTTTTGCATAGAGCAACTGAGATTTGGATTCAGTGGGTTAAAAGTTAATTGGTTGTCGAAGTCCATGTTCTGCCATGGGTCTGACCAGCCACCTTGGACCCTGTTGGCTCCCAAAGACCAGACCACAGCCGAAGTCATACAGATCTGAGTAGCACATACTACTACCCAGTGCCATGGTGACGCCAGGGCTGCAGCTGGCAGCCATGTCTGGGTCCATGGCCCCACTGCAGCCAGGGTCTGCACTGATGTCCTTGGCTCCTGTTACCATTGAGTGACCTGCTGATTCCAGTGCTCTGGCTGCCACCTGGGGCAGTGTTGGTGTCCAGGGGACATGCTGCCACTGGGGTCATGCCGATCTGGGTAGCCTTTGCCCCTTCCTGGGGCCATGGTGACAACCAGACCTGGGATGCTGCTGAAGACCACGCCTGGGTCCATGAACCTAAGCAGCTGAGGTCTGTGCTGAAGTCCATGGCCCACGTTGCCACCAAAGGCCACAAGGAGCCTGGGGTCTGGGCCACAACCTGTGGCCTTATTGGTGACAGGGAGGGGAGGGACGAATGTTTTTGTTAGAGCCATCCTGATCTGAGTGGCTGGGGCTTCCACCTGCAGCCAGGATGTTGACCAGGCTGAGCTGCTGCTATGGCCCAGGTACCACTAGGGCCCACACAGAGACCCAGGATCTGGGCTGCAGCCTGTGGCCTTGTTGGAGCCTGGGGACCATGCTGCAACAGGGATCATACAGATCTGGGTGGCCTGTATTGCCACCTGGGGCCATGGTATCACCTGGGGCCAGTTTGTTGCTGAGGGCCATGTCTGGGTCCATGGTTCTACTGCAGCCCAGGTCCATGTTGATGTCTGAGGTTCCTGTTATCTTTAAAGGCTATGCAGATGCCTGAGGTCTGGGGTCATATTGGTGTCCAAGGACCACACTACTTCTAGGGCAGGTGACCGATCTGAGTGACCTACACTGCCATCCAGGGTAATGATGACATCAAGACCCAGCTGCTGCTGAGGGCCATGTCTGGGCCCATGGTCCCACCATGGCTGTGCTAAAGTCCAAGTATTGCCACCAAAGGTCACACAGAAGCCCAGGGTTGGCACCACAACCTGAAGCCTTGTTGGTGTTTGGGAATCATGTTGCCACCAGAACCATATGTACCTGAGTGGCCAGTGCTTCCAACCATAGCCATGATGTCATCTGGGCCCAAGTTGCTGCCAAGGACCAATATCTGAGTCCATGGTCCAACTGCAGCTGGGGTCTGTCAGTCATGTCCCCTCTGGGACCATAGGAACCATGCATGATGAAATCAGAGGGCCATGCTGAGCCGCCCTGCCCTTCTCTGGTCCAGGGAAAGCTGGCCCTGCCATGCTGAGCTGGCCCCTGCACCTGGGAGAGATGGTCCCACCCCTCACCACAGGCAGGGATGATTGACACTGTGTGCAAGGATATAGGGAAGCTGCCTCTGCCCCCTCACCTGAGGTGGGTGGCTTCAGTGGCCAGGGCTGACCAGCTCAGCTACCACCCAGGCCCACAGCCCAGCCTTAGGTAGGCCCACCCTAATATGTATCCCATCTAGAACCCACTGGAGCTTGTGAAGGGCCTGGTCCTGTGGAATGACACCGGTAGGATCTCTGTGACTTGGGAAGGCCACAGGATATCTCAGAGGAGTTCCAGGGAGGATCCAGTGATGAGGGTGTACCAGAAACCAGAGGCCTTGAACCAGACCAGTGACTCATTGCAACGAACACTGGCTAGTAAAGCTGATTAGGCAAAAGGGTATTCTAGGTGACACAGCATGGCTCCAAGTGCCCCCAGGATGAATGAAGAGGCAGGAGAGGTGTGAAAGATGGAGAATTAAAGAAGTTTTGGGGGTTTTTCTTCTTGTTTTTGTTTATTTGCTTGCTTGGTTTTACTTTGGTTTTTTAAATTTTCTTTTGTGGGGGTGCCGTAGGGGTGAGGGAAAGGAATGGAGGGACTAGGAGATGAGTGGAATTGGGGTGCATAATATGAAACTTCCAGAGAATCGATAAAGAAGTCAAATTTTTAAAAGAAGTTAATCATTGTTTCCAATGAACATCACTGTAATAGATCTCTCCCCTCTCTCTCTCTCTCTCTCTCTCTCTCTCTCTCTCTCTCTGCACACACCATGTGAAGTGGGAAAGCAATGGGTGGTACGAGTGAGCAGACAGCAATCACCTCTGTCAAGTTATAAACTTGGGGAGAGAAGGAGGGAGGGACGGAGGGAGGGACTGAGGGAGGGAGAGAGGGAAAGAGAGATTAGAGAGGCATCAGGCTGTTCCTGGCTCTAAATTACTTCATACCGTATGAAGCATTCAGGCTGTGCTTTGCCCATTTTACAAGCAGCATTTAATATCGCTGAAGGTACCAATCCTGAGGCAGAATAAGTATACACCTCATTCTGGCTATGAACCCCAGGACCTGCACAGCCTCCCCTAGGGGCACTGAGGAATGACTTACTCCTAAAAGTGCAGGCTACAAACTTACCAAGTAGGGTGGGGACATAGACCTATTAAAACCACATCAGGAAACCCAGGCCGAAGAGCTCATCAAAGAGACCAGGCCAACAGAGGATAAAATGCTCTCACCCGAGCCACATGTAAAGGAGGATGCCTAATGCCGGATGACAATGGCCCCACTAACCTGTCATCTCACCATCCAGTGTTTACGTCAAGGGCAACATGAACAGCAAACTCCTGATTGTCCTCGTGACCTCAGCTCCATCACTGGTCCCCACTGCCTCACTGGTCCACTGAAAGCATGTCCATCTCTCTGTCCATCCAGTGACCTTGAGGTCCAGCTGAGCTCCGTGACCAAGGATCTACTCTGCTTGCCTCCACACGCCTCTAGCTAGGTTCATTAGTATCTATCATCTGCAGCGGCTTACTCTACATTTGTATTGGCTCTGCTGCTACTTCCAGAAAGATCTCTTTGAAGTCTGTGGCCTCTTTTGTACTATTCTATAGCCTACATGTACACACACACACACACACACACACACACACACACACACACTACAACCTATATATGCTGTGTGAAAGGTTATGTATAATCTGAATTAATGTTAGTAATTAAGATCAGAATAAAAGAACCTGTGGTTGCCAAGAGCTGGCTATGAAAGCAGATCAGGACTTCTTGATATATAACAGAAAAAAATAAAACATAGCATAGCTTGAGAATTTATTGTTAACCAATGGCATGGTTGAAAGACATGAGTGTGTTCCATATTTTAGCACAGTAGGCCAATGATAGTTAGGTAATGATATTACTTAAAAGGGGAGAGAAGTGGTTGAGTTCACAGATCAAGACCAAGAAGCAAGAAGTGAGCTAGGAGCTTCAGGAGAGCAGAGGGGCCCAGGAAGAGGAGGAGATGTGCTGGAGAGGGGCCTTGTAGTCTGACATTCATGGTGTCCTAGATTGTTTTCTATTGCTGTGACAAACACCATAACCAAAAGCAACTTGTAGAGGAAAGGGTTTAGTTCATCTTATGACTCCACATCAGAACCTCTCATCTAAGAAGTCAGTGTAGGAACTCACTGTAGGAGGCAAGAACTGAACATTGACTAGAGAGGACCGCTGCCTACTGCCTTGTTAGCCATGGCTTGCTCAGCCTGCTTTATTATATAACCCAGGCCCACCTGCTCAGGGGTGGCACCACCCACCATGGTCTGGACCCTCCCACATCAACCATTAATCAGTAAAATGCCCAAAAGGCCAATTTGAAGGAAAAATTTCCTCAGTTGAGGTTCCTTCTTCCCAAATGACCATAGATTGTGTCAAGGCCTCTCTCTCTCTCTCTCTCTCTCTCTCTCTCTCTCTCTCTCTCTCTCTCTCTCTCTCTCTCACACACACACACACACACACACACACACACACAAAGCACACTGACCTATACTAGAAGTCTGAGGATCAATGCTCTAGAAATACTGAATAGATTTTGAGTCTACTTCCTCACTAGGAAAGAGTTGATGGGATAATTCAAACAGCGAAGTAGGGAAAGGTGATGAAGAACCCTCCAGTGGCTGCTCCAGTGGCCCAGAAGAGACCAGAGCATGTCAAAGCCAGTCCATAGTCATGCCCCAGCACTGAAGTACAGAGATATCATCTTAGCTACTTTTCCTATTATTGCGATGAAATCCCCGACAAATGTGATTGAAGGAAGTAAGGGTTTATTTAGGCTATCTATCCATCATGGCAGTGAAGTCACGAGACAGCTAGCTGCTGGGTATGTTTGCATCTGAAGTCAGAAGCTGAGAGTGATGAATGTCTGTGCTCAGCTAATTTCTCCTTCTGAATAGTGCAGGCCCAAACCCTGGGGAATAGGAGGTGTGGGGCTTTCTACCTTAATGAACGGAATCTAGATAAATTTTTCCAAGCAAGCCAAGATGTGCTATGAGGCCGACAACAATCCCTATGAGGCTGACAACTGATATTAACCATGACAGAAACTGGGTGAGTTTTTCTGCTTGGCTTCTTTGACTTGGGCAAGATACTATTACTATACAGTGTGTGTTGTTTGCATCAAGGAATGTGCGAAAAATACACTGTGTTCTTTCTAGCTAATTGATGAACTCAATTTGTGGATTCATTCTGTTTTAGGATTCTAGAAACTAATGAACAGGAAACTCATAGTCTCTCTCTCTCTCTCTCTCTCTCTCTCTCTCTCTCTCTTCTCTCCTCTCTTTCTCTCTATCAGGCAAAGAGTTCATCTGAAGCTATCCAGAGCCCTAAGTCCCTCTGGATCATTAATGAACACAACCTCCCCATCTCTCTCTCTCCCATGTTCTCCCTCTATGTTCCTCTCCCCCTCTCTCTCCCTCTCTTTATCTCTCTCTCTCTCTCTCACTCTCTTCTTTCACCTTTTTGTCTCTTCATCTCTTCTTGGGTATTTTCTTGTTTTGAGACAAGTCTTCACACATCCCAGGCTAACCTTGAACTTGCTATGTTGCTATGAGCTCTTCTACCTCCACTTCCTGAGCATGAGGGTTACCCCACACCCAGCTCTCCAGGTTTCTTTTAAAGAACTGCATAGGGTTTTGGACATTGTTAGATGTACCATCTAAGATAAACTAATAGGCAGAGAGTTGGCAAAGAGCCTGCACTGTAGTCCAAAGGCCACCATCATTTGCAGAGTCCCTCAAGCTGGGAAGGAGTTTGTTATTCAAACCCCAAACTGATGGAGTGAGATCCACCCACATTAGAGAAGACTTTCTGCCTTACTCGGAAGTCATCTGTTTAATGTTAACTTCATCTTTCATAGGAATATCCAGAATGATCTTGACCAGGTGAAATGTGGAACTGGTTGATCATAATAGGCCCTGAACCTTCCTGAGGCTGTCTAGATCTCAGTGTCACGAAAACTGTGTCAGCTAAGGTAGCAGCTAAGGAGCCCTTGAATAATCATTGTCCTCAGACAGAATTTTCCAGAAAATAGCCATGGAAGTAGAAGGAATGGGAGCTGGAGAGGAAATTACCAGAAGGGTGTGGCAGAGGTGTGTGACCGTGATTGAAACACATTATGGACATGTATGGAATTATCATAAAACACATTGTTATACATAATGAACATATGCTAATAAAATGCAAAAATAGATGACTCTGAAGATCAAGTTTCAACATGAGCCTTGGTGGAAACAGGCCATAGAGCCATCCTACTGATTTTTACTAGTCTTACATGCTAGTAGTCCACATCAGGCCACACGTGTTCCCAGCTTGAGTCCTCCTTCAGCCAGGAGGAGCTATTACCAAGTTATAGATTTGCCAATCTTACATCTTTGAAATAGTTGCCAATAAAATAAACTATTGCTGTATGGTTTTACAGAGGTGCAAATAAAATTCTGTTGGGTGAATCATTGAGTAAGTGACTTCAGAGTCAACTAAGAAATCTTAATGATGAAATTAATGTCCCAGATCTCCAGTTCCTTCCTGGGGCTGCTACTGACTATTTTCTCAATTCAGTTTCAAAAGAAAATTGTCAATCTTATGAATAGAGTTTTTATTTCCTCAGGGAAGAGCTTCATTCTTGGTGTGCATCAATGGTTTATTTCCACTGGTGGAGAGCTGGCTCATAATCCTTTATCATTTTTCTTTTTACTGAACTTAATACATATTTATCCTCCTGTGATGAAGTAGCACTTCGCTCCTTTTTTCTCCCCACAAACTTCCTTTCCTACCTCCAAAATCTCCATGGCCTGGCTCATTAAGGATCTCCTTGAGAAAGTGGTCCTGAAAGCCACACTTGTGCTGACATTTAGTGTGCTACAAAGAAAACCCACAGGCCTCAAGGGGAAGTCTCATAGCTTTTTGACCACAAATTTAATCAAGTACAGGTTGAATGCCAAGAAAAGTTTTAATTGTGCATATACAGTAGATAACCTTTCAGATATAAATGTTAGGCCACCAGTAGTGTTATCAAAATATGTAACATGGGAACACGTTATTAAAGGACAGAAAAAATGATACACATGGTCCATAAATCTGCTTTCTTATGACTATTTGCAGGAATTCACAAATGCAAAACTTTGTGTTTGATTTTATGAGACTGAATCTTCTGTAGTAATAGCCCAGGCTGGTCCTTATATAGCCAGTGGGATCTTGAAATTCTGCTGCCTCCAGCTCCCAAGTACTGGGATTACAGGTGGGTACCACGCCTGGGCGCTCACATAAGCATTTACACATAGACTGGATAATGTTTTCCTTTAAGTGAATCTCACTGGAGCTGTGAGGCAGAAAAGTTTGCTGATGTCCGATGTACTTCGGTAATGGCTTACTTTTCTTTCCATGTTAAGATTTCTAAAAGCATATTTCAAATGCCAATTTGCATGGTGTGCCTGCAGGGGGGAGGGCATGGTCTTGTCACTGCTTGATAGCAGCACCACCTGGCTTTACATTCCAGGCAGGGCTCATCCTGCCACCCTGCAGGTCATTCAGCAGTCAGTATCTTGAATGTCCTCAAGGTTTCCCGTGGGTGGGACGAAAACCCATACTCATCTCCAAGTGAAATGTGATATAGGCTTTGCCTAACACACTTGCAAGAGAAGAGCTTGAGCCAGGCCTTCTGGGGCAGTGAGTCTCAAAGTGTATCCCAAGCAGAGGGCCATTCTGTGACCCATGATGCACCAGGATTAACATCCTAGCCAGGTACCTCCCACAGAAGTTGCCAGGAAAGTCCCCAGAGTGCCAGGCAAAGTTCAGGTTGGTAGGCTCTGGAGAAGTCCTCAGATTCCTCAGAGAGATGTTCAATGTCAATGGCATCCCATGCCATAGGGACAAAACCATTCTATCCCATAATCATAACCCTGATGGGAGGCAGCTGCACTGGGCCAGCCAGGGCACCATGCCCAGGGAAATGGGGAAAAAGGCCCTCTCTAGACCCTTGGAGGACCAGAGACTGGCAAAGGGATGGAAATGCTCACTTCCTTCCTCCTCTTACCCCTTCAACCTGCTGTCTGCCACAGACCTTCAGTCAAAGGGCGACAGCTAGAATGTTCAGACCAATCACATAAATTGGCTGGATGACTCTTCAGATTCCAGAACACTTGGAAATGATAATTCTGCCAAGAGTGGCTCTGTAACCGATGATCTGGGTGACAGGTTGCAGTTAAAGACATCATCTATTGAACCTAAAAACACAGTAAATAAGGTGTTCATAATTGCATCACTGCAGGAAGAAAAGGCACCTTTAAAGCTCATTCAAAATAGCCTCCTCAATAACTAATAGAGAATCCTAGCTTCCACTGGGACACTCAAAAAGCTAAATAGAAATGTGCTGATTTTTGCTATCAGTGCTATTTCTGTTGGTTGGGTGTGATGGCACATGCCTTTAATTCCAGCACTCAGGAGGCAGAGGCTGGTAGATAAATCACTGTGAGTTCATGGCCAGCCTGGTCTACAGAGCATAGTTTCAGCTAGCCAGGACTACATAGTGAGACTCTATCACAAAGTATAAAAGAGGCTGACTGACACCATTACTCTGGTTGCTACTTGCTTTCTATTGGCCTGGAGATTTAGGTAAAGAGCAAGTATTGGGAGACAGATGCTTAGGACAGAGTCTGTTTGCTGGTTGGTTTATTCATCTTGCGGCTAAGGATGAAAACAAGGGCTTCCCACATGCCTGGCAAGCATTCTTCTACTGAGTTATACTCCCAGCTAGAGGTCAGCTTCTGATATGGACAGAACAGACTGGCCGTCTTGGTGGGCCGCCAGTTAGTCTGAGAGCTGGATGCCAGGCTTGGCAACCTGCCAGCGCGACAGGTGTGTTGTAGCTGTGCCATCTGTAGTGCAGGGGCTGTCCTCTCCATTGCTGTAGAGCAGAGGAAGCCCTAGACCTGGCTCAGGGGAAACTTTCTAGGATGTGTGGCACTCATGCCACACATGCCCTAGTGGAAACCATAAGCAGGTACAGGGACAGAAGCTGAGTCACAGTGAAACAGGCATGCTATCCAGGATGCTGGGGCTAGTGGGTGAGCCTGAGGACCAGACAGATGTGGCTCAGTCGAAGCAAGGGGAGACCACCCACGGCACTTTTGGTTGTGATGTAACAGAGAGAGCACAGGCAGACAGATAATGTTAAGACAGCATAGGGTAGGGGTGGGGATGGTGTGGGGAGTGAAACAGACAGCCGGAAATGGAGGGGAAAACAGACATTGAGAGAGAAAGAAAAGCAAGAGAAAGAGGGAAAGGGAACAGGAAGGAGGGAGGAAGGAAAGAAGGGAGGGAGGGAGAGAGGGAGGAAGACAATTTCCAGGCCCACCCAAGCCCTGAATCTGGAAGTGCTCTGGGGCCCAGACTAGCTACCCCTCAGAGATAGGCTCACAGAGGAAGAAACCTTCTGTCTGAGCCAAGTGCATTTCAAAACCAAAAACCCACCATATGTCATGTTAGATTGCAAAATGAGTCCTTCCCAGGAGTTATTCTTGTTCTATCCCAGAACCCTTCTAAACACACTGTTAAGACCCAGACCACAGCCACTGAGACATGCAAGCTGACTGACGGCTCTGTTATCCGGAGTGCACGCAGATGAAATAGAGGAGACAGCACTCTTCCAAAATAATTTAACTCTGTGTGCTGAAGTGAGCACAGATATTCAGATTTAATAGATTTTTCATTTAAATTAGCCTTCTGCATTTGCTGCATCATATAATTGATATGTCATAAAAGTACTAATCTTCCTTTTTCTTTCCTTTGTTCTTTGCTCCTCTTTTCCTTTCTGTCTGAAACAGGATCTCTCCCCACCCCGCATGTTGCCTAGGCTAGCCTCAAACTCCTGGACTCAAGTCATCCTCCAGCCTCACCCTCACAATCAGCTAGAATATGGGTGCTCACCATTGTACCCTGCTTCTCTTTGGGCTAACAAACACCCCAAGTTGCAACTATCATCAGGTTTGTTATTTTGTTGTTGTTGTTGTTTTGTTTTGTTTTGTTTTTTGCTTTTTGCTTTATTTTTGTTACTGAACTCATTATGTAGCCATTGTTGATCTGGAACTCCCTCTATAGAGCCAGTTGGCATTGAACTCATAGAGATCCATCTGCCTCTACCACCCATTGTTCTCTTTGGTCTGGAAGCAGATCTCTGGCATTTCCATTAGTGGCCGCTTGGGTCTCGAAGCTACTATGTACCCTTTGAACTAGCCACCTTTCCCATACCCTGAGAGTGTGCAACAACGTACCTCTAGATGTGACACTAAACTTTCGATCAGAGAAACTGCTCCTCCGGATTAATGGTTCACTCATTTTTTCCAGAAATAACTTAATGGTTTCTTTCTTTTCTGGGTTCATGCTTGTCAAGTTGAGAACCTTTCCTTGTACTTTTACAGTGGAATTGCTGAGCCCAAACCAGTAAAGGAAATCAAACAGGGCATCTGCCTTGAATTCGTAGGCAAAGCTCAAATTCTCTCCATTCAGCACTTTAGTTCCCGGAGGGAAGAAATTCTTCACTACTTCCTGGAAATCAAACTGAAGGAGAGAAAAGTTACATGACACGGAGGACAAAACCGTCACGGACATACAATCAACCACAACCCGGACGTCCGCTGTCTTGCTCTCCCAGGAAAGGAAGCAGTTCTCCTGCTGAAAGTACAGCTCACCTGAAGTCTGTAGCTTTCTCCAATCACTGAGGAGATGGCCATGTCCATCCCTTGCTCTATCTGTCTTCTTATCTTGGGGTGCCTTGTGTTCACAAGAAACGCATAGGTCCTTTCTAGAAGTCAGCAAGCAGAAGTCAGACAAAGTGTTTGTGCGACATGAACACACTTCCTCCGACTAGCAAAAGCGTGCTGGAGCCGCTGGAGAAGGTTTTATGCATCTATTCTCTTTCCTGCCAGCTTCCTCAGGTGCCTGGCCAGATTTCTAGCAATGTTCCCCAGACCTTTGTAAATTTGAAAGCTGCTCTGGGCTACTGTGAAAGCAGGTTTTGGGATCAGCTACCTTGGAAATCATGAGAACTTCCTCTCCACAGTGTGCCTCCTATGTGGAGAAGGTTCTTTTGCAACGTTTTGCATTGGTTTATTGATTGAGTGTGTGGGTGTGAGAGTGTTTGTGTGTGCGAGGGAGAGAACACTCAAAGGCTCAGTTCTCGCCTCTACATGGTGATTTCCAGGACAGAATTTGGGCTCCCTAAGCCTGTAAGCCAGTAGTTGTCAACCTGTGGGTCACAACCCTCATGGGGTTCGCCTATCAGATATCCTATATATCAAATAATTACATCATGATTCATAACTAGCAAAATTACAATTATGTAGTAGCAACCATAGTTTTATGGTTGGAGTCACCACAACATGCAGACTTGTATTAAAGGGATGCAGCATTAGGAAGGTTGAGAACCATCTCCATTGCTCCAGACTAGAGTAAAAACACCAAGGCATTGGAGGTGGAGTCTGCCCCCCAATTCCCAGTCTTACCCAACACATACAATATAAACAAATGGAAGGTTGTTTCCCCATTTAAAAATGGAATCTTATTAACTACTAATCTCTTTTCCAGCCCAGGAATCAAGCCCAAATTACTTGAGCAGTCAAGGTAAGACATGCATGCCGGTCTTGTCTAAAGGTATGGACAGCTGTTATGTGAGTTTGAGAATATTCTATTGTCTTTGCAATATCTCAGAAGCAAAACCCATGGGCCAAAGACAAGTGTTCAGATTTTTAAGAGATGCATCTTTCTTGAAGATTTATTTATTTTTATCTTTGTGTATGGATGTTTTGGCTGCATGTATGTCTGTGTACCCTCAGAGGCCAATAGAGGATATCATATGCCTAGAACAGTAGTTACAGCTGGTTGTAACTCCACCTGGGTCCTGAGAATAGAACCTGGGTCATCTGGAAGAGCAGCCAGTGCTCCTAACTGCTGAGCCATCTCTCCAGCCCTGAATGCAATTATACTACTCTCACTCATTTTTAGTTTTCCCCCCATGTTTTCCCTTCTGAATTTTTTAAAAGGAACTTTAGATAGAAACCACCTTACATGCTATTTGAGACTCGAGATAAAATAAAATTGAGCAGACTAGTTGGAACCTAGAATTGAATTTTATGCAAATCAACCAAGACCTTTTAAATTAAAGGCGCATAAAAACCCAGGTCTAGCCTATCCCACAGCTGGGCAGGTTGCACACTGAACCATTACACACCTGTCAATCTGCATGTTTACTATGATAGACTTCTAGAAGAAGGCAGTGCTTATCTCCAGAACATGGTAACTCCTACCTAATTTGCATAAAGTGTAGTCTAGAATAGCAGTAGGGCTGACATGTTGCCTTAGTTACGGTCATCGCCGTGTAAGCTTAGCCATCTTTTGTTTTTTATATTATAGAACTTTTCTCACAGTTGGCTAGCTGTTGGGGCCTGTACTTCCTTCTGTAGATGTTATCATGCAATTATACACTCTCTGTGGATCTCTTTGTACAGATTCCATCTTGTGCCATTCTTGGAATTTTGATTAAAATGCTTAAGTAGGAGTTCTTTTTAAATACAGTTTATTTTTATTTCATGTGGTCATGTTTTGTCTGTGTGGAGGTGTCAGATCCCCTGAAACTGGAGGTACAGGCAGTTATGAGTTGCCATGTAGGTGCTGGGAACTGAACCTGGGTCCTCTGGAAGAACTGCCAGTGCTGTTAACCACTGAGCCACCTCTACAGCCCCCTTAACTAGGAGTTCTTATTCTTTCTTTAGATTCTTCCTGAGAGAGCAAGTCAGGGAGTGCACAGTATATATGTGAGTTACAATCTTAGAGACCTGGCCAGCTTTCTGGACATCACTAAGCCAGAGCACAAGTGGTACTAGGGTGCTAGGGTGTGGCTGGTCACATGGAGCTAACCACTGCTGGCTGTGCTCTGGCCTTTCCTGTAAATAGTATTCTGACTTTGAGGTAGGGATGATGAACGGAAAATGCTCCAGTAACCACCTGAGAGAGGAAGGTTGAGGAATGGGCCAGTCACTACCCTAAATTCACTTTAAGAATACAACTTAGGGGCTGGAGAGATGGCTCAGAGATTAAGAACACTGGCTATTTTCCCAGAGGGCCCATGTTCTATCCCCCAAACCCACAAGGCAGCTCACAACCATCTATAATTCCAGTTCCAGGAGATCCAATGCCCTTTCTGGTCTCCAAGGGTACCAGGCATGCAAGTGGTACATAGATATATGTAAAGACAAAAACACCCACCTATATAAAATAAATTGAAAAAATAAGAATTGTAAATTATTTAAAAATCATTATTAACTATACCTACTTTCATGTTCAAAAGCATCCCCATTTGTTTGATAGGTCCTGTAGGCCATTGAGCCAGCTAGTGACAGTAAAGCATGCCTCAGACACAGTATGTAATTCACAAAGAGTTTCACCAACCATCCCTACAACCCCAGAAGGCCCAGAATGTCAGATCATCTGACGGCTCCATGTCAGGTCGCTTCCTGCCTGAATAGGAAGTGAGAAGTCAGAGACAGGGGTTTCCATCATTAGAAGTTCACTGAGCCAGCATGTGCAGTGCCTCAAATGGATGCACATAGCAGGCTGTTTGCTGCTTCCCTTGACAGAGCTGACATCTACCCACGCTTCTTTGGGCCACCACCCAGCAAGGCAGGGCCAAAGGAGATTATTTATATACCTACCTTTTGAGATGTCCTTCTTGGTCTGCACGTTAATGAAGAATAGCATGGGCTTGCTCAGTATCGTTTCCCTGTAGTCTTTATAATCAGAGTAGGTGGTCAGTTCCACATATCTATGGAAAAAGCAGAAGTAGCTGCAGATGTAGCATCCATTCCCCCGTGAGGAAGGGGATGCACTGACTGGACATGAGCCTACCTCAGCCATGGTCTTTGAGGGATGTTTCCTAAACTGTGTCCTAATAGAGGTCACCATATCTCATACACATCAGAAAATCACCTTTGGGTCATTGCTGAGTGGCTGAGGGGGTCTATGGTCCTTGGGGTGACTTGATATCAATGTGTTGTTGCTTTCAGAGAAGCCTTTACCAGATGAGGCCAACGTCACACACTGTGTGGGCAAAGCTCATCTGAAGCTGTCAGAGCCCTTAGTCCCCCTGGATCAATAATGAACACTGGCATCTCACCATCTCTTTCACACTCTCCCATGTTCTCCCTCTCTATGTTCCTCTTCCTCTCTGTGTCTGTCTGTCTCTCTGATGTGTGTCTCTCTCCTTCTCTGTCTCTCTGTCTCTGTCTCTCCCTGTGTATGTGTGTATACATCTCTTTTCCTGTCTCTCTGTCTCTCTCTCTCTGTGCTCTGCTTCTGTTTCTCTGGTGGCCAGGTCTAGCCCAGGCTGGCCATGTTCAGTCTACTACTTTCTTTCTCTGCTCTGGACTCTGGCTGCTCTCTCTCTCTCCAGCAACTACAATAAAAACCTTCTCCTTAACCACAAAAACAGCAACAATAAAAATGAACAAAACTAAAGAGGTAGGATTCATTGAGTCTTCTCTAGTGGATTCATCTGCCTAATAGGTCTGGAATTTCCTATCTCCTCTCCACTTATCCCATCTAATCCCAAGATAGCACAACCTCCTGTGTGGATCACACCATTAATCATTTTCCCTACAAACTATTACTAATTCACATTTCCTCTACCCTCAGCTTGTGTAATTACAACAATCAAACTGTTAATGGATTTCTGCCCATATCCTCATTAAGTTTAGCTTCCTTAGTTTTACTCTGTTATTCTACCCAGAATATTTTACTTAGAAAGCTCTCTCTGAGCCCTGACTCTCATCTTTTGAGTTAGCTTTCATCCACTACCCTCCAATTTTCCCAAACAGCCTTTATCTGCTTCTATGTGGCTAATAAAAAGATCCCAGTGCAAACTGGCTCCTTTCAGGCGTGTGGTAACCTGGGTGAGAATGGCCCCCATAGAACCATATGCTTGAATGCTTGGCTAATGGAACTTTTAGAGAAGAATTAGGAATCGTGTGGCCTTGTTGGAAGAGGCGTGTCACTGGGGACAGGTTTCAAAAGCCAGTGTCAGACCCAGTCTCTCTCTCTCTCTCTCTCTCTCTCTCTCTCTCTCTCTCTCTCTCTCTCTCTCTCTCTGTCCGTCTGTCTGTCTGTCTCTGCCTGCTGCCCTAACATCAGAATGTAAAGTTCTCAGCTACTGCCCAGTACCACCCCTGTCTGCTTCCTGCCGTGATGGTGATGGACTAACACCCCAATGCTTTCTCTGACAAGAGTTGCCTTCAGTAGGTGGGTACCGGCCAGGGGAGAATGCCCAGCAGGGGAGGGTGCTGAGCAGGTGAGGTGCCCACCACCAGGCAGCAGAAAAGGTCAGCTTCTGCTTGTCTCCTGGCTTGACTTCCCAGAAATACTGGATTATCAGACTGGAGTTGAAGAGTGGGGCCTCTAAAACTGTTTCCTTCTCCTCTCTCTCTCTCTCTCTCTCTCTCTCTCTCTCTCTCTCTCTCTCTCTGTGTGTGTGTGTGTGTGTGTGTGTGTGTGTGTGTGTGAGATCTGCCCGCCCATTTAGCACTCTCAGCATCTTCCCTAAGGCAATCCCTTTTGCCTCTGTCTGCAGTCTGATGGCGGCTCTCTAGAAGAAGCCCCTGGGGCTCAAGTGCAATGGAGGCCCCAAAGGAGCAGCTTCACACGATTTTCTGATGACACCACAACAGCCTGGTGCTTCTTTCACCCTGTAAGATCATCTAATTGACATCTAACTGGAGACATTCTTGAATTCTTCTATCACCAAATTGTCTTCCAACAAATCCGCAATACCAGAAAAAGGCAGAAATGTCAAGTCAGAAACAACCATTAGCGGGAAGAGCAAACAGGTCCCTTAGAATTCTGTGGAAGGTTCTTTACAGTGCCACAGGGCTCAGAGAGCTGTGGTTGGATGCAATCAGAGAACAGGATTAAGGAAGTCACGTATTGAGGCTATGTGCAAACTACACATAATTCTGTACTGTATATCATGAGCCAAATGAAACAGCTGGACAGTAAAAGCAGGTCTGGCCGAACTGACCATCCCTTGACAATCTGAAGGCCATTTAAAGGGCCATTCATCCCAGGTGTATGCAAACACTGACTATCTGAGAATTTTGACAGCGTATTTTATAGAAATTCCCTATATCTAACCTGGCCACAAAGAAGAACCACTTGTTAACCCTTGTTAACCATCCAGAAGATACCGGAACAATCGGATGACACCACATCTGAACACAGTGCTGCAATCTGCAATACCTAGACAGTGGAGCTAAAGAGCTCGAAGTCTAAATGAGGGCAGGTGAGTAGCATATGCCGCCTGGATACTCAGGACAAAGGGATAAGCCACATGCTGTGGTGGGAAGGAATGGAACGAAAGGCAGCATCATGCGATTCTCAATGGTACACAATTTAAAATGTGCAGTCTGTTGATTCTTGAAGCTTTCAGTTTAGTACTTTTTACCTGAGTTAACCACAAATAGCTTCAGTGAAGGGATGCTACTCTACATCATTAATTTTTCCATTCCCAGCTCCCAGTTATGGTCCCTTTGTCTAATGTGTCAAAATTCCAACGAAATAAGTAAATGTGGGTGGTTATTTGAAATTTACGATTATAAACTTGGAATATAAAAATCAAGAAACCAAAAAGGTCACGGGGTCTCCTCATTCAGTTCCACAGGTGTTTCAGTATCTGCCTGGCATTTAGTTATTGCTTTTAATTCAGGATGTCTTACTAGGTGACATTAGGGACCAGTTATTTCATGTTTAATCATGAACCCTTCTGAATTAGTAATGCAAATATCACCTCCGTGCACTGAATATTATATTTGCTAAAGTTATCATGGGGGTAGCAAAATGTAAACAACTTTAAGGTTACTTTGAGATAACAGGTCCTTTCAACTATCATTTCTTCATTTTACACTGTCCCCAAACTACTTTTAGATTGTAACTTTCTAAGCCTGACCTCAAGGCAAAGATCAGAGGGTAGGATAATTTCAGAGAAAGCCATGTTTCAAAATAAGATGTAATTTGTGTCTAAGCTCAGTGGTGTGTAAACTCTATTCCAGAACCAAGGCTCACTGTGACTACAAAACACAGTTAACTGTGACCCTGAGCCATATCTCTCTGTGACCCATTGTGAGGTGGGTCTTCTAACACAAATATGAGAACGGAAATACCTTTGACACCAAGAGCCACAAGGTGCATTTCAATGTGCAATAGGTAGAGTTAGGAGTCCTTCTTACTCTGGGTGTAGTCCCTGGACCAATAGCATCAGCATTGTTCGTATTCAGGCATCTGCACTGGCCTGCCCTTGGGGTTCTGACAAGATACACCCTCAGCTGCAGCCACTAAGAGCACCACCTGTGCACATTTACTACGTTCTCTTTTTAAAGGTCCCGCCCCCTCCCATCTTTCTTTCTCTCCCTCCCTCTCTTCCTCTCTCCTTCTCCCTTCCTCCCTCCCTCACTTCCCTTTCCCCCTCTCTTCCACCACTCTTGTCCCCAGGGAGCATTCTCTGGTCCCCTCTCTGCTTATCTCCCAGCTGGTGGACTGTGGATGGGGGCAGATTCTATATTTTCTACCTTAAAAATCTCTGCCTTTAGTTCCTTTAAATGGCTGGTTTATACTCAGTGTGAACAACTGATGGAAATGCAGTCATTGATTTGGGGTCCTCTGGAAGTGTGAGAAGCTGCCCCTGGCCATTGAGAGGCAGACAGCTTCTTGTTTGTAGCAGGCAATGTCCTAAAAACACTGGCATAGTCTGACAGTGCTACTTAGAAACTATGGGTCAGCTGATCCCACCATCTTCCACGGGTTCACTATTAACTCTCATTTTCCCTTCATAAAAAAACAAACAACAATAGCATCCACATGGTAAGATTTCACAAGATGACACTGGTGAAATACTTTGTACCCTTCTGGGAACCCATATCAATATTAGTAGCCACACTTCTTTTATTTATTTATTTAGATTACCCAGCAACCTCTTTCATGCCAGGAGAGCAGTGCACAGGCAGAATATGAGGCTATGTTTGCAAACATTGTCAAGCATAGCAGTATAGGCTGCATCCTTGCAGAACGACCTGTGTGTGTGTGTGTGTGTGTGTGTGTGTGTGTGTGTGTGCGTGCGTGTATGAGCATGGTGTGTGTGTGGTGTGTGTATGTGTGTGGGGGGTGTGGTGTGAATGAGCATGGTGTGTGTGTGTGTGTGTGCGTGTGTGTATGAGCATGGTGTGTGTGTGTGGTGTGTGTATGTGTGTGGGGGGTGTGGTGTGTATGAGCATGGTGTGTGTATGTGTGTGTATGAGCATGGTCTGGTGTGTGTGCGTGTGGTGGGTGTATGTATGTTTGTTGGGGTACGTGTGTGTGGGAGCATGGTGTGTGTGTGTGTGTGTGTGTGTGTGTGTGTGTGCACATGATGGTCAATGTGGGTTGGCCTTTGAAGGCACTTGGGAACCACTATATAAGGGGCAGTGTCCTGAGCAGGCTTTAGCTATGACATGAACAGAAATCTTGAACTTAGAAGAAAAATGATGGTGGTAAAGATTTTCTCATTAATTCCACAAATTAAGACAAGTATTTCAAAGCAGGTATTCACAGCATCTTTGTGGCCATCACTAAGAACCAGGAAAGGCTTGGCTTCTGTGGTTTACTTAGTGTTGTGTTTAGAACATGTTTAAGTATTGGAAAGAAGAACCTGAGGAAGGAGAACAGATGTCCCCAGTGAGGGACATCTTTGGATGTCAGGGCAATGGCTCTTAGCATTCTGCGGTTTCCTGGGAAAGGACTCCAGGAGAGGAAGAGGCCCTGTGTCTTGATTACATTATAGACTTATTCCACACCCAAAATGCTCATCATGGGAGATAAAAACCTAATGAGTAGAGCAAGGATTCTTATCCACACATCTTGGAGAATCTGTGTTGGCCAGGGACCCTGGGACTGCATCTACATTTCTGGAAAGGTCTATGTCCAGTTCTCAAAGGCCCCATGGTCCAAAGTGCTTAGGAACCTGCCCCTGCCTCTCTCAATACCGGGGCAGCTGTTCTCAGTTAGATGCCATCCCACACCTAAGGCAGGAATGTGGTAGCTGCAAAAAAGACAAAAATTCTCTGGTGTCCATCACCTCAGCTTGTCACGGCAAATGTGAAGTTTGTACTGTGGACAAGTAGACTCTGCAGATGCCAGACACATTGAAACCAGGCTGATCACCTACACCAGTTGCCCGGCTTTGAGGAAATCCAACTGGAGTGCTATACTAAGAACACTTGAAATTGGTGACTCCTGTGCCACAGTAGCAATCACATCAAACTGGAGGCTATTATAGATAGCTTATGTACATGCATACATATATATGAAGAGAGAGAGAGAGAGAGAGAGAGAGAGAGAGAGAGAGACTTCACTTTGGTGTATATATTGACAGAAGTAGTGTATGCTGTTTAGACAGACATCTTGGATCCACTTGGTTTGGGTTATGCACACTTTTCATATTGCACTCAGCCACACCCTTACTTGCAAACTACACACACACACACACACACACACACACACACACACACACACACCAGAACAATGCACCTAGCAACCTGGAATAACAGCCTGCATGGAGCTGCAGCCCCACACTGGGAAGAGTGGAATAACTTTCTCCCCCACTTAACAGTCATCAAACTAAAATTCTATTTAATTATACACTAGTCAGACAATTGAAGGTGAAGGTGATCTGGGCTGGACTAGTTTGGGGTGCATTAACAATAAAGCAAACTGTGCCCTCTGATGAACTATTAGGAAGAATCTTCGAATTACCGTCTTATGCCCGTGCATTATCAACAGTGCAGATGATGGAAATAAGATGCAACATGGAAAGGATCATGTGCAGTGAGCAGCAGCTTACATCACCCAAGCCCAGAGACCCACCCAAACTGCAGCCCTTAGAAACCAGCTCCTCTGTTCTCTTATGATCTCCACAGGGACCAGACACACAGAAGACAAACATACATACAAGCAGGCAAAATGCTTACACAATAAAAATAATTTTAAAAATGAAAAAGGAACCAACTCCTCCTTCCTTTCCACTGTATAAAGAAGCCCCAGGCAATATGGGGCTTGAATGCCTTCATTCAAGTGGTCCACTCACTCTTAACGGCATTATTCTTGACTAATTTGTACTATTGTTTCGATTTGAACAAAGTTGCCCTGGGGCTGGAGAAATGACTCATCACAAGGGTCTGTAACTCTCGCTCCAGGGGATCTGCTGCCTGTGGCCTTCGCTGGCATCACACACACATGCACACACCCACATTCAAATACACCTACACCTAATTTTAAAATAGAAAAAAAAAAAAAAAAAAAAAAAAAAAAAAAAACCTCTTCCCTATTACTTTGTGATCATTTCTTTTAATAAAATTCTAAGAACCTGGAAACATCCAGGTCAGACCTGGGGCAAGGATAATGCTGTCTTCAAAGTCAATGCCAACTCAATCCACCTTGCAGATCCCAGCCGAAGAATCTTGAGAAGGCTAAATTCAGCATCCTTCCACCTCTAGCTGCTGCACAGAGCTCAGTCCTCCACCCAGAAAGCACTCCCTCCCAGCCCTCTTCAGGCTACCCACACAGTTAGAAAAGCTCCTACCATGACATGGCCCCTACAAAAAGACACGATTCTAATTCCATTTTTAAATCTTTCTTTGGGAGCCTCTGTAACTCCAGGGTATGGAAGCCCTCACTCACACAATTGTCTATGTGAGGAGAAGCAAGTGTGTGAAAAATGCAATTGCACCCTGGTCTGTGCCATCCACTGATTGCAACTACACTTTAACTTGCCCAGGAACCACTTTTATAAAGCTGTTGAAAGAAAAAAAATTAATGATAAGCCTCAAATCTATTCCAAAATATCCAGTATCATGTGCTAATTAGGAGAGCTGATTCTGTCAACTGCCTTACCTTAACCTCAGTTCATTTCGAACATTGTGTGTGAGTGTGCGTGTGCATGTAGGTGCACCAATGCATACATGTCCCCCTTATTAGTGTCAAATAGGTTCTCTCACTGAACCCAGAGCTTGTCAGTTTAGAGACATGGTGGAGGCCAGCAAGCCCCAGTAACTGTCCCGTCTTCACACCCAGCACTAGGGTCCCAGGCACCCGTACATTTTCATGCGAATGCTGAGAATCCGAACTCAAGTCTCTCACTTGAGGTACTGAGCCATCTCCCCACCTAAACCTGCATTCTTACTTAGCTCTCCCCACTTCCACTTACAAACTGGCATTTTCATTGCCCTCCCAAAGATAAATTCTTGGTAGGGAGTGTTTTCTCAGGCATTCAAAAAGCATGCCATCCCGAGGGTTCAAAGAATGCGTTATCAGTATCTCTCGGCTCCACCCTCTCCACAGGGCACACATCAAACTTTCCCAGGGGCAGACACAGCATATCTTCACACCTGGCAAGCTGTATCACTCACACTCCAGACCCACCTGGTTCTGGGGCACTCAGCACCCTACTAACCATGGTGACCCAGTCAAGTGGAATTTAGCATGTGTCCCTTTGGCCACAACAGTTCCTGAGGACCATTGGATGAAGGCTGGGATCTCACAGTGCTCTGCAGCAAGCCAGGAAGATATATACCTTGTGCTTATGTCTGCCCAAGCTGGCTTGCCACTGAAGAGGCAACAACCGCTCTGGGCTGGGCTTCTGGAGACTTTGTTTTCCTCTCTACTATGGTTGCTTGGTTTAAGAAACACCAAGAGAGCAATTGCCCCCACCCCATGACCTTTTTTGCATGATTCTGCTGAATAGTTATTGGTGTTCAGAACCAAAGCTAGGTGTGAAGGTCCACATCCCAGACCTCGCCTGAGGGGTGTGCCTGTGACTAAGCTCATCTGACCCACTTAATGGGCATAATGGAAAAAGCAGCCACCAGCTGGAATGTTGGGTGGGGCTGAGTGTGCGCCCACCCTTTCCTCCCTACACTGTCAGCATGACACCCTTCTTAACTTCAAGAAAAAGCACCCTTTAGGCACCCTTCTTAGCTACAAAAAAAAAAAAAAAAAGAGGGCTTGGGTCGGCGGATGTCAGGGAGGATGGCCAGGTCTCCTGGAGAGGGGACAGAGGCCAGGTAGAAGATTTGCAAGGACAGAGCTACAGGCTAGGGCAAACGGCGTGGCCACCCACCTCTTGATGTGGCTGCTAAGGCGGTAGAGCTGCCCGTCGAAGCTCACGAGGCCGTCCCCAAAGACGTTGAAGCCCCCTCTCATGCCCACCGATTCCCCGGGCCCAGGCACCAGGAGCTGCTCACCACGCAGCTGGAAGGCACCAGGCTGTAGGCGGAGCAGCTGCGACAGGGGCAACAGGGCCAGCTCACAGTCACAGGTCCACAGGCTGCGGAGCTCCCCGGACGAAATGGAGGTCAGGCTGGGTCTAGCCACAGGCTCGCACGCTGCAGTGGCCATAGCCAGGCTGTAGCTCCGTTCCCTTCCTACCGTGAGAGTTTCCAAGTGGGAAGATTAAGTTTGTCTGTCTGCCGACTACTGCACACAACAGTCGCTTTGTAGCCCTCCCGTCACCCTGAAGGCTGCCCACCCTCAAGGAGTGCTGAAGACAGGGATCAGAGAAAGCGGTCCTGCGCTGCACAACCCCTTTTATCAGGCACCGGGCACGCCCCTCTGGCCCCCAGGCAGGACCCCAGATGCTCCACTCCTGCAGAGCAATCAGCATTTCATAACTTGGCACACTCCCACCTCGCCTGCTCACGGCCAAGACTAACTTAGTCATCCCACTGGGGTCAGACACTCAGCCCCAGCGTGGGGCCCTCCCTGCCTGGTGCTCACTGCCTGGTGCAACATCTTCCCCAGGACAGATGCTCAGGCCATGAGCAGCGCCCATCCATCCCCCAAGTGCTACTGCTCCCAGGATCCCTGACCACTTCTCCACCTGGGGCGCAGGGGCTGTCAGAGCTCAGGCTGGGAGTCCCACCTGCATCTAGATTCCCCATCTCATGCCCAGTCTCAAGTCTTCAGCTTCCTTTTCTTCATCCTCTTGCTTCTGCTGCCCCAGAGACCCTTGGTGGCTATGTGTTTTGGATTCAAGGCAGAAGACTCCTAGCAGGCCTCCCTCATGGGCTGAGCTCCCCGTACCAAAATCAGAGCATCAGTTTATAGATATTTGGGTGCTCTAGTTATGTGCTCACAAGTTCCCTGAGGGCCGAAAGAATTGTCCCTTTCTATTTAATTAAATGAATAACAACCACCGTCCAACTGCTGGTCTAAGAGAGGAGCAAGCAAGTTTCCCAACAACACACTGACTGAGGGGAAGTCTCTGCTCTAGGTAAACCTGCATGAGCAGGCAGGAAACTCCAGGCAGCACTGAGGAGTCCTGAAGGCAGAAGCTGAAAAAGCAAGTAGAACGTAGAACTCCTATATTAAATTTTTCTCTGAGTGCCCCCGGAGTGCCTAGGTTTAATGGAATCAGACAAAAACGTGTCTGCTATCCTTTGTTGATTCTTTATTGTTTTGAAGATTTTAAGTTATTCTTATCGTGTGTATGAATGTTTGCCTGCGTGTACGTACGTACGTGCACAGCAATGAGTACAGTACCTGCAGAAGCCAGAACACATCAGTCAGATCCCCTGGAACCAGGGTGACAGCCGCCATGTGGTGCTGGGAACTGAACTTGGATCCTCTGTGAGAGCAGTGAGGGCTCATAACCACTGAGCCGTCTCTCCAGCCCCCGGTGTTGTAGGATTTTTATTCTTTCCTCGTTTAACAGTAAATGCAAGTTGTGTTTCAAATGGCTTTGCCTTTGTAAACTGTATTTCAAACCTCTATGCTATTTTCCATCAAGGGAATGTGCCCTTGTTTGTCTAGCCTTTTCTTTCCTGGAACACTGGAATCCCTATGTTTTTCCCTCACTACAAGCAGTAACACATCTTTGCAATTTAATTCTTTTCGGCACACTCCACCTCTCAGGAATAGAATTACTGGGATAAGGGATATGAATCTATGGAAGGCTCTGGATCCCCGTACGACCTAGTCTGTTTTCTGTTGCTATGACAGAAAACTGATCAAAACCAATTTTGGGGAAGAAAGGGTTTATTTGGCTTAGAAATTACAGTCCTCCATTATCAAGGGAAGATAAGGCCCGGAGACAAACTGAAACAGAGACCACAGAGGAACATTGTTACTGGCCTGCTCCCAGGCCCATCCACCTAGGAAATAGTACATCCACAGTACATCTTACATCAATTAAGAACCAAGAAAATGCCCGCACAGATGTACCCACAGGCCAATATGATGGAGGCAGTTCCTCAGCTGAGACACCCTCTCCCCAGGTATGTCTGGGTTTGTGTCGAGCTGACAAAAATTAACTATGATGGGATGTCATTGTTTTCCAAAGGAACTTTACCTCTTATTTTCTTTCTCTCATCAGCAGTGAATTCTTATGGTTTGTCTTTGGTACTGGGGAAACACACCCCATAACTCTACATATGCATTTGAATTGTTTAGGTTCACAGTACAGCATCCTGTTTTATAGAAGAATGGACGTGTGTGTGTGTGTGTGTGTGTGTGTGTGTGTGCTTATACACACTCAGTTAAGCTTATAGTTAAGAGGACACAACCTGAAGACCTTGCCATCCTCATGTGCCCCTACTAGGGTGACAGTTACATCATCAAAGCACAGGGGCGGCCTTTTATCCTCAGAGCTTTAAGTGGTCCTGTTCAGCAACTGTGATGGTCGGCTTTGACAGTTGATGCACTGTCTACATCAGGCTGGCCTGTGGACACGTCTGTTGGGAATGAGATGGTTAACAAAGTGCCTGACACACAAGAGTGAAACTCTTGAGTTCAGTTCCCCAGCACCCACATAAAAGCTGGGCCCAGCACAGTGGCACATGTCTATAACCCTAACACTGGAGGTCAGGGAAGACAAGTATATACATGGAACTCTGGCTAGTCAAGCTGGCTGAGTTACTGAGCTCCAGGTTCACTGAACAATCCTGTCTCATAAAAATAAGGTGGAGAGTGATCTAGAAAGTCTCCCAACACTGACCTTGGACCTCCACATATGCACACAAGAGCAGTCACATGTCTACAACCCTCATGTACATGTGTACATATCCACAGGAACACACACACACACACACACAGAGAGAGAGAGAGAGAGAGAGAGAGAGAGAGAGAGAGACAGAGAATACACATATCTGTGGTCTTCATCTCTCTTACATAAAATGGTCTTTATCCTTTCATCTCACCTCCCTTTTTAGCTATTTTTCTCAAGGTCAAACTCACTCAAAGAGATGTCTAGATTCCTTCTCTACCATCTCACCCCATGGCACCATTGAAACTGACCTAATAAAGCATCCGTGACCTCCATATTGTCAAAGCTAAAAGGTGTCTCCTGCTCTTGTCTCCGCTCTTGTCCTTGCTGTTCCCTCCTCCCTTGACTCCTTGGGGAAGTTCGTGGGCTTTGTGAGCATTTATTGTCTGAATTTGGGAATCCGTTAGCTGTGTCTACAGAATAAACAAACGCTTTGGTCTTTAGATGTTCTCACCTCTAAAATCTGGTAAAATTTGAAACTAGGGAGTGGCAGGGCAGGAAGACAGTCAAGGGCTCAGGCTTTGGTGCCTCGTTATATAGGTTCCAAATCCAAGTTAGCTCCCTGGTCACTGAGCACACCGGCATCAACTCTGTGTGTCCAGGCTGCTTCACATGTAAACTGCAGAGTTTGTAAGTAAAGCACTCTAAGCAGTGTCTGGCCCACAGCAAACATCACACGTGTGTGTGTGTGTGTGTGTGTGTGGGTGTGTGTGTGTGTGTGTGTGTGTGTGTGTGTGATGCCCGCATCAGGGGACTTCTGTGAGTTCAATGACAGTATACACACTACATCTGGAAGTCATCACAACACAGTGCCAACTCCTGTTTATTCCTGGTTGTCTTCTCCCATCTCAGGCCATTTGTTTTTCCTGAGTCTAGGGGCTCTGGCTTTGGCAGTCCCTTCTTTTATGGATGATGTTGTTCAAACCTTTGGCTCTAGTAGACCCCTAAAGCTGGTGAGCCCCATATATCTAGGTACAGTCCAGACTTCTTGCCAGACTCTCAGTCTACCCAACTCCATCCAGCCCTTCACGTGGCTTCCTATTGGTTGCTCCAAGGAATCTTTTCCCTTCTATTGAATGTGCACATTCTCCTGCATCCATAATCTGATGAGGTTTGTCCATCCCTATCCACATTCTCCTGCATCCATCATCTGATAAGATATGACCATCCCTCCCCTCTCGTCAGAGTGCTGAAGGCATCCAAGACTGCACCCTTTCACAGACACACACACACACACACACACACACACACACACACACACACACACCAGGCCTTCCTCCACCACCACTCTACCTCAGTCCCCCAGGGTCTTCTGAATCTGGCACCTACAAATTCAGGCCATTTTTGCTTCCTTCTCAGCTCCTTTCTCTTCAATTTTTCTCTGGATGTGGCTTCCCAGTTAAGGTCCATCAGGGCAGGGAAGCCAGGATAGCAAGAATTGAAAGCAGCTGTCCGTGGACTGAAACCTGAAACTCTGAAGTAAAGGAACCCTTCCTCCCTTAAATTGCTTTCTTCCGCAGAGTGTTTTATCGCAGCCACAGGTGAGAAACTGTGACAACTGGTGTCCTTAGAAGAAGAGACTCATGGGAGTTGGGGGGCAGGCAAAACTAAGATGCACCATCATTGGACCCAGCAAGGTCATTCCAAGCCAGGAAGATACCAGAAACAGAAGGTGTCCCTTAACCTTGCCTTATAGTCTCGCACATGCAAGAAATTAAGTTTGTGGGTTCTTAAAGGTTTTGTTTAGGTTTTTAAAGATTTATGCTTTATCTACTTTTTAAAGATGCATTTATTTTATGTTTGTATTTCACCTGTCTGTATGTATGTGTACCACATGCATGCCAAATGCCCATGGAAGTCAGAAGAGGTCATCAGATCCCCTAGAACTGGAGTTACAGACAGCTGTGAGCCGCCATGCGGGTGCTGGGAAGTGAGCCTGGGTCCTCTCCAAGAATAGCCAATGCTCTTAACTGCTGAGCCATCTCTTCAGCCCTTAATCATTATTTTTCATTATGTATATGTGGTGGGGAGAAGAGATGTGGATTTGTGCACTTGAGTGCAGTGCTGATAGAGCCCAGAAGAGGTTGTCAATTCCCCTGCAACTAGAGTTACAGGTGGTTGTGAGCCACCAGATATGGATGCTGGGAACTGAATTCTGGTCCCCTGCTCTTAATCAGCAACTCATCTCTCCAGCTCTTAAATTTGTGCTTCTTAAGCTGTCCAGTCTCTGGTGCTTCATGACAGCGAAACCCAACCAGACTCCTGATTCTCACATACATGTCTATTGGCTTAAGAATTGTAAAATGCGACTTGCAACTCTTTGGAAGGTGGGGCTGGCATTCCCTCCATGGTGCACAAAGGCTGTTCCTGATGTGTGGCTCTCATCTCACTTTACAGATCTCTGCTCACATTTTAATCCAACAGACACCCTACACTTGAGGTTAAGTTAGATGGCCCCTCCTTCTCCTAGGGGCAAATGACCTTTCTGGTGCTTGCCTTTACC